ACTACTTCGCACTTTTCCTCGTATACAAATACACTTTTACCCCATAATCTTTAAATAAAAGCAAATCAAAATGAACGATTATTAAATGTTTCCCTAGTTATACCAAAAAACTAACTATTCAATTAGATTCTACCTATTTAATAGTGTATACTTACCGATTATTTTATTTAAAACAATAAAAATATCAGCTTAATTTGTCACGACATAACCACTGAGTACAACTATTCACATAAAGGTTACAAATAATCACCCGGTAAATAAGTTTTCGACGTTTTCGAGTTGGTCAGCGCCACACTTTTTTAAGTAGCTCAGTATACTTGTAGGTAGAGTATTCTTTCAAATTTCGTCTATTTAATAGGGTAATACAACATATTGAGGCTTAAACGCTTCTTTTAAATGTGCCTATTTTCTAGAGATGTTGGCGACCACATTGACCCATCTTATTATATTCACAGCAGCTCGAAATAGGTCAGTTGACGTTAGAGCAGTCAATTTCCTAAGATTGTCCAGCCAGGGTATATATCTACGTCCAGGCCCTCTCTTACCCTTAATTTTGCCGTGTAAAATTAACTGTAGAAGTCGGTATTTATCATTACGCATGATGTGACCTTCTTCTTCTTCAAGTTCCACTCCTATCGGAGATTGGAAATCATTCTGGCAATTATAATTTTATTGGTTACTCGCCTGAATAGTTCAATTGAACTGCATCCAAACCATTCACGGAGATTGCGTAGCCACGTGATTTTACGTCTTCCTACGCTTCTTCTACCTTTGATTTTACCCTGCATTATATTCCTTAGTAGTTCGTACTTTTCACCTCTCATGATGTGCCCCAAGTATTCCAATTTCCTGATTTTTATGGAATTTAAAACTTCGCATTGTTTTCCTAGTTGTTCGAGAACTTGTTCGTTTGTTTTGCGATCCATCCATAATATTTTCAAAATACGTCGGTAACATCACATTTCGAATGCTTCTAGGTTTTTAATGTTGGATTTTTTGAGTCTCCAAGCTTCAACTCAATAAAAAGTGTAGAGAAAATATAACATCGAACTATTCTTATCCGGAGCGATATATTGATATCGCGATTACAAAAAAGTTTTCTCATTCTATTAAAAGTTGACCGCGCAATTTCAATGCGACATATTATTTCTTTTGTCTGATCAGTATCTTCTGTGATCCATGCTCCAAGGTATTTGTACGAAGATATTTGTATAATTTCTGTATTATCTAGTACTAGCTTAACTTTGATGTTTTGTGCTTTTGTAAATACCATGAACTTGGTTTTCTTCAAATTGATTTTTAGTCCATAATCGTTGCAATATATATTTAGTTGTTCAGCAAGGTGTTGCAGTTCTTCTGATGATGTGACCGAAGTAAGTCAATTTTCTGTTTTTTATGGTGTTAATAATTTCTTTGTCTTTTCTTAGCCTCTGGAGAATAGTTATCTTACTTGTATGGTGTATATATTCAACATACGTCGGTAGCACCACATTTCAAATGCCTCCAATTGTTTTATGGCATCTTCTGTAAGGCTCCAACTTTCTGCTCTATAGAGGAGGACACTAAAGACGTAACATCTAAGAATTCGTATACGTATCTTGATATTTATAGATAAGTTGCAAAGAATCTTCCTAAGGCTGTTGAAAGAGCTTCTGGCTTTCTCAATGCGAGTTTTTATTTCGTAACTGTGATCCCAAATGTCTTTAATATTGCAACAAAAATAGCATATTTTTCCACTCTTTCTAACGGTGTATCGTTTGGGCGTTTATGCCGGTGTTGTTACTAATGATTATTATTTTTTCTTTTTGCGATTTAGTTTTAGACCGTATTTGTTACATGTTTCTACTACGTTATCCATTATCCTTTGGAGCCCCTGCTCACTATCTGTCAGCAACACTGTATCGTCTGCATGTCTAATGTTGTTTATAAGTTGGACATTTACAGCAATCCCATCTTCTGATTTGTCTAAGGCCTCTCTAAAGATGTTTTAAGAGTAGGGTAGATCGGGGCTAGTTGTGACAGGGGCATGTTGTGACAAATAGTTTTTATAGACTAACCATAGGTAGCAGCGTCGCCCGGTTACCCAGAATTCCACGTCCGCATGTCCTCAGTCTGTTTGTGTAGTTTGGTTGTGATGCTATGCGTTTCTGCCGCTTTATAAAATTATATGTCATTTCGTTGTAACGAAGTAAAATTTTGCTGTTGTCTTTGAATTGTTATTTCACTTTCAAACCACAAGGTAAGAAACTTATTCTAGTTGTAGTAGATAGTTTGTTTATTTCTCTCTAGTAAGACACAGTTTGGTTTCTATACGACGTGTCAAGGTCTGTGCAAGTGGCTTTATGTAAAATGGCGTACGGTGGGGCTAGTTGTGACGAAAGGCTTGGAGCAGATTGTGACAGTGTCATAACATGCCTCTACTAATTTTAATGCATGTTTATGGGTTTGTTACAGATAATGGTGAGAAATTATAAAAGGAAAACGGAACGTGGTCGGAGTAATATAAACAGTTACGAGTCGGCTTCGTTAGATGTTAAGTCTGGATCGTGTAGTTTAAGGCAAGCAGCTGAAAAATATGGCGTTAACCGGATGTCCTTACTTAGATATATAAAAAAACAACAAACCAATCCAGATGGAGTGGTAGAAATGGGTTACAAAAGACCTCGAATGATATTTTCACAACAACAACAAGAAGAGCTCTGTGAATATGCTGTTCAGGCAGCGAAAATATTTTATGGTATTAGCCCAAAAGAAATGAAAAGTTTAGCTTTTGAATTTGCTATAGCGAACAAAGTTCTTGTGCCTGAGAATTGGGTAGCAACAAAACACGCCAGTAATGATTGGTTTACAAAGTTCATGCAACGTAACAATAATGTGTCTATTCGTGTTCCTGAGGCTACCAGCTTAAGTCGGAGTACAAGTTTCAACAAGCACAATGTCGGACTCTTTTTTGATAACCTCGAATTAGTATTAAGTCAAAACCATTTTACAGCTAATGATATTTGGAATATAGACGAGACAGGGACTGGGACTGTCCAAAAACCGGTAAAAATCATAGCGAAGAAAGGCGAGAAAAGAGTTGGTGGTGTCACTTCAGCTGAGAGGGGGACCAATGTTACTATGGTTCTTGCTATTAACGCAGAGGGTAACTCAGTTCCTCCTATGTTCGTTTTTCCACGTAAGTTTTACAAGGAGCATTTTGTACGTGATGGGCCAGTAGGTTGTTGTGGTACTGCTAACCCAAGTGGCTGGATAACAGGCCCGGACTTTTTGTTTTTTATGAAGCATTTTGTAAAAAAAGTAAGGTGCTCAAAGAAATCACCGGTTTTAGTTCTGTTAGACAACCACAGTGCTTACCTATATATCGAAGTCCTTGACTATTGTACAGAGCACGGTATTACTCTCTTATCGTTCCCTCCCCATACAACAAATAGACTTCAACCACTGGATGTTTCCGTTTTTGGTCCATTTAAGAAGTTTTTAAACGACGCCATGTGTGGATGGATGAAATCTCATCCTGGAAACACAGTCTCAATTTATGACATCCCAAGTATAGTGAAAACAGCATTACCTAAAGCTGTAACACCAACAAATGTTCAGGCAGGATTTCGTTCTACAGGAATATGGGAATTCAATAGAAACATTTTTAATGAAGAAGACTTTCTGTGTTCTTCGGTGACCGACCGACCTTTGAATAGGCCTATTGACATCGTAGATGGTAATGAGGAAGCCAGTGCTGGGCAGCTTAAAGAGTTTCAGCATCTCGATGAACCTGAACCGTCGTCATATTATGCTAACCAGCCAGGACCCTCCCATACCTATCAACCAAGACCATATCAACAAGGATCATCGCAGGCCAACCTACCAGGATCATTCCATGCCGAAGTTCTGCCTGTCAGCCCTATGGATATAAGACCTCTGCCAAAAGCTGGTCCTCAAAAAAATAAAAAACGCAAGAGCTTAACATCTGCAATTTTGACTAGCACACCTGTCAAGGAGACAATTCGCAGTGAAGAGTTAAAGAGGAAGGAAACAATAAAGTGCAAAGAGGATAAAATAAAAAAAAAATTATTTGACTCAAAACAACTGTTGCCTAAGAAAAAAGCAGCGCCAAAGAAAGAGACCGCAACAAGAAAAAGAGAAGACAGCTCAGAAGAAGAGGAAGAAGATTACTTTTGCTTAGTTTGTATGGGACCATATAGAAAGTCTAGGTTAGGAGAAGACTGGGTGCAATGTATGGAATGCAAGAGGTGGGCTCATGTAAAGTGCACAAAAGATGATCTTTATTATGTTTGTATAAACTGCCACTCTTCAGAACTACAAGTAGAATCAGCACAAATTGACGATAGCGATTAAGTTTTTTATTTTACTTTAAATTCACTAGACGTTTTTCTACACATTTGTTTCTTACATAAACATTTATAAAACATTTATGTATCTATACTTAACTATAAAATAAATTTATTATGGAAACTTTGTTGTTATTCTCCAACTAAAGTTTATTATATTTAAAAATATTTACTGTCACAACCTGCCCCAAGTTCGTCACAACTTACCCCATATTGGGGCAAATTGTGACAATATGTGCATTTTGTAAAATTATTTACATACTGTAAGGTATTGCTTAAAAATTGCTGATGTTCCCAAATAATGATTCCCAATTAAAAATAGTACCTCATTAAAGTAATCTAACAGCCCTAAAAATTACGAAAAAAATGTTAAAAATTATTTTGTCCAAAGTGGCACAACTATCCCCAGTCTACCCTATATGTTAAATAATGCCGGTAACAATATGCAACGCACCTTGCACCTTATAAGGCACTTGTCTCAAAAATACTCTGGCCCTACCTGATCCTACCTCCTTTATTACTTTGCATTTTGATAAAACCAAAACTTAGTATTGGATAACATATGGATATTATATTTTTACGTTTGAAGTAATTTAATATAAAGTAATCAAGTCTAATATAAATAAATTATTGAGGCAAAATTTGTTTTAGAATGTAAAGCCTACTATCCAAAAAAGGATGTTGGAATATTTGTGACAGGTGGAACTAAGTCCCTTCCAAAACAATATCCACATATGGTAAGTACAAAACTGTTGTAGTGTTTTTAATAAAATTGTATGTAAAACTTTTCTAAGGTTTTAAGAAATATTGAATTGATATTTGTTACTGTGTATCCTCTTGTGCATTTTATTTTGTAGATATTCTTTCTACAATTAGCTGTGTTTTAAATATTATGTTTATATGGACTTAGACCATTAGGTTATTTTAAAAATTCTAAAAACAAGTTGTTGTTTTAGAATGGCGCTAGAACAGCGCTAAGAAAACATAACATGGAAAAACTATATTGATGAACTCTTTGCAGATGATAAACAACAATCTGAGCTAAGTAACATACAAGGAGATGAAAGTCCAGAAATAACGGAAGAGGAAGTAATGTGCGCACTAAAAAGAATGAAAAATGGTAAAGCTCCAGGTCCAGATGAAATACCAACGGAAATCTTTGAACTAATAGAAAAAGACTCGATTCACATTTTAGTTGAACTTTTCAATAGCATTTATACATCAGGAAAAACAACACAAGAATGGTTTTTATCCACCTTTGTTATTATACCAAAAAAGATAAATGCCAAACAATGTAGTGATTACCGTACAATCAGTCTGATGAGCCATGTACTGAAAATATTCCTGAAAATTATACACTCTAGAGTACACAGAAAACTAGAAATGGACATCAATAATACCCAGTTTGGATTTCGAAATGAACTGGGAACAAGAGAGGCGTTGTTTGCACTGTACGTTATGTCTCAAAGATGTCTTGACATAAATCAAGATATATTCATGTGTTTCATAGATTACAACAAGGCCTTCGATAAAGTGCGGCATGATCACCTAATCAGACTCCTGACAGAAAAAAATTTAGATAAACGAGACATCCGACTAATAGCAAGTATGTACTACAATCAGAAAGCAGTAGTGAGAGTAGAGAATAATACCACTGAAGAAATTGAAATAAAGCGAGGTGTGAGACAAGGGTGTATACTGTCACTAACACTGTTTAATCTCTATTCCGAAGACGTAATGATTAGAACACTCTCTGATCAATCCGTAGGTATTAAAATAAATGGTGTTAGATTAAACAATCTGAGATTTGCCGACGACACCATTCTGATCGCAGAAACACTTGAAGAGCTACAGACATTGGTGAATAAGATAGCAAGACTGCAGCGAAGAATATGGACTATCTTTGAACATAAAGGAAACTAAATTTATAGTAATATCGAAATCAACACAAAATGCCCAAAATTTATATTTACACAATGAAATTATTGATCGAGTTAGCAAACACAGATATTTAGGCACTTTTATAAATGAAGACAACGATAGCTAAGCAGAAATGAAAATAAGAGTAGAAAAAGCCAGATCCATATTCACTAAAATGAAGAGAGTGTTCTGCGGAAGAGATTTGAGCCCTGAAATGTTCGCCTGATGAGATGTTACGTACTTTCTGTGCTGTTCTACGGAATGGAGTCATGGACGTTGAAAAGGATTGATACCAAAAAATTAGAGGCATTTGAACTGGTGGATGTATCGCAGAATCCTGAGAATATCATGGACCGAGAGAGTCACAAATGTCGAGGTCTTGAGAAGAATGAATAAAGAAAAGGAAGTCATATTTACGATCAAAAAACGAAAACTGCTATACTTCAAACACATTACAAGAGGCGAACGATATGAACTGCTTCGAATAATTATGCAAGGGAAAATAGCAGGAAAAAGGTCCATAGGAAGAAGACGAAACTCCTGGCTAAAAAATCTACAGGAATGGTATAGCTGTAGTAACAACGAATTGTTTCGGTCAGCAGTTTCGAAAATACGTATAGATCTGATGATCTCGAACCTTCGGAACGAAGATGGCACTTGAAGAAGAAGAAGGATACTATAATTAACGAAAACAATGAGTACGCAGAAGAGATTGCAAGAAGGCAAGAATAGGACAGACAAGAAATTCTTTTAACAAACTGAAAAATGTACTCTGCAGCAGGGATATTTCAATTTCATTAAAGATAAGACTTCTAAGATGCTACGTGTTCTTCGGTTTATTTAATGGGTTGGAGGCTTGGAGATTAAAGAACGATGTTTCGGACAGATTAGAAGTCTTCGAGTTATGGGCCTACAGAAGGATATTACGAAGAAGTTGGGTGGATAGAATCACGAATGTCGAGGTGTTGAGAAGAATGGGAAAAGATAAAGAGGTCTTAAATACAATTAAAGTCAGAAAAACTGCAATATCTGGGACAGGTCATAAGAGACGAGCGTTATAACTTGTTGGAATTATTAATGCAAAGAAGAATACAGGGTAGAAGGAAGAAAGGAATGAAGAAGACGCATCTCCTGATTAAACAATTTGAGAGCTTGGTTTAACTGCACTTCTGCTGACCTCTTTAGAGCAGCGGTATCAAAAGTGCCATAATGGTTGCCAACCTTCATAGAGGAGATGGCACATGAAGAAGAAGAAGAAGAATGTCTTTTAAAATTGATGGTTAACGTACTTGGACTTGAGCTTGTAGGCAACAGCATACTTATGGTTGACAAATGTGTATGTAGTTTTTTTATCCTCGAAATATCAAATTCTAACTTTTTGTGTACTGTCTATGTGATTATATGTATATATTTTAGGTAAATACGCTTTTCAAATACTTAATTAACAACAAAAACAATAAACATATCGACAAGATTACAATCAATACATCAATATGCCATAAATTCCAAAAGTAAACCATTCTGTAAACTGCAGTCTAGCATCATCTGGTACAGATTTACAAAAACTTGTTTTTTTTTCTTTGGGAAAATTATTCGCAATTATGTAAAAGGAGTATTGCTTTTATTTTATAGAAAATTAGTTTTAAGTAATATCTTTAGATCTAATTATATACGTGATGGATTCGGCCGTTACTTGATGGAAATTCAGTTTTATACAACAATAAAACACTGAAAACTTTGATTTTAAAACTTTCACAAAATTTATTATAATGTTTTATCACTACAGCTGTTTCAGTAGGGTGCATTTCTCAAGTGCTTAAATTTTGAAAACAAAGTTTTCTGTATTTATTTATTTATCGTATGGCAATTACAACACATTTAGAATAAAACTACAAACACTAGTAATGTAGGTATATGACAAACTGTAAATTGTTACAAACAAACATCAAGTGTATTAATATAATCAATTAACGCTAAAGTTGCAAACAGGAAGTCTTTAGAGCTACCATTGTAGGATCTTGAGTAAGGGACACTCTTCAATAATGCGGTTGATGGTTTGGTTCTCGCTACAGTCATATTGAGAAGACGGTTCTTTCCCCATTGATGTAGCATGTATGCACATCTGCCATATCTGGTTCGGATCCGATTTAGAGTGGATCATGTTTTGCGTGGAAGATCAAAACCTGGTGGCTTGTGGGTAATGCAGGGCATGTTATGTTGCCATTCGTTCCATTCTTGGGACCATGCATTCGTGATGTTGAACTCCTCATGTATCATTCTTGCCGTTTTCATTGGTAGATGTACTTAACACTGGAAGCCACTAGATGGGAGTTGATTTAATTGTACCAGCTATCATCCTCATAGTGCTGTGCAGTGTGTCGACCTTTTTTACATGTGGACTGTGTAGCCAAACTGGAACCCAATATTCAGCGATCGAGAAAACAAGGGATAAGGTAGAAGAGGAAATGCATGGAAGCCAATGCTCTCCAGGTGGTACCGCAGAGCTTCTGTATAATGTTATTTCTTGTACTCAACTTTTGGGCAGTTTTTGTTAAATGCTCTTTAAATAATAGCGTTCTGTCTAGTGTTACGCCCAGCTACTTCGGTGTTTTGTTGTGGGTGTGATATTTTCAACCAGTATGTTAAGTTCCTTTCCAGCAAATTTATTGTTCAGGTGAAAGCAACTAACTTCTGTTTTGGATGCACTTGGTTGAAGTCGCCACTTGCGAAAATATTTGCCCAATATATTTAAGTCTCTTGTCAGAACTTCTTCAGACGTTTCTACTGTTCTGCATCGTGTAGTAAGGGCCCAGTCATCGGCGTATTCGAACTTTCTTGATTGTGTTTCCGGCATATTTGCTAAGTATAAGCTAAATAGTAGTGGGGAGAGCACTGACCCTTGTGGTAGACAATTCTTAAGTTTCTTTGGTGGGCTGATATCTGTGCCCATCACTACTTGAAACATTCGGTCATTAGGCATGCTATTTATTAGTCGTGCTATTGGTTTACAGGGGATTGCACGGAGAATTTTATATATAAGGCCCTCTCTCCATACTGTATCGTAAGCTGCCGAAGAATCAATAAATACCGCTAAAGTTTTAAGTCTTCTTTGGAAACCCGCTTCGATGTAGGTGGTGAGTGACATTACCTGGTCCGCGCAGCTTCGTTCTGCTCAAAAACCCGCTTGTTCGACTGGGATCACCTTGAACAGTTCTATACTGATTCTATTATATATAAGCCTCTTTAATAGTTTGTAGATGGCAGAGAGAAGCGCAATTGATCTGTAGTATTTTAGGTTGTCGGCGGGTTTGCCTGGCTTTAGTATGGCTATTATTTTACAGCGCTTTAGTTCTTGTGGAATATTTCCAGTTTCCATGATGTCTGTGAAAAATCGAGCTAGCTAAAATTTTGTATACTTGCAAAATTTATTAGGAATTCAGAGTGAGTCTTATCAAATGCTGGTGCTTTTGCTGGCTTAACGTCTTTAAGAGCCTCTGATATGTCGTTGCTGGTAAAGGGGAGGAAATGCTCCGTTTCTGTGGCTACATGTTTTAAAGTTTTAAGTTCTCTCTTTATGTAGATGGTGTGTGCTTTATTCTTTGGTACCCTGGATGTTTTTAATGTGATGCTACGGCCTCTGGCTTTACGTCTGCCTCTCGGCGTTTCGTACGGACACCACTCCCTAATTTTCTTAGTAATGACCATGCCTATTTGCTTGATTTCTGGAAGTTTAGACTTTCTACTGTTTTGGTCCACTTTTGTCTTCTAACAGCGTCTAGTTTATACAGTAGTTCATCCGTTATTTCTTGGTTGCCAGTTTCAAGAAAGCTCTGATATAATTCCTCGCTATTTTCCTACCAGCCAGGGATATATTCTTAGCAATAGCCTCTTAGTATGTGTTTTTGGGCTACACTTTGGCACGGCACCAACAAATCTGTGGTAGTTTTTGATATTAGGTGTAATCCACCCTAGGCATTTACCCAGATTCGCAGAGAAGTCAATCCAGTTGGCCTTTTTAAAATTTCATCTTGGACGTGGGATAAAACTAAATAAAGGAATTTGGTCCCTACTTCTATTATTACTGGTCGATGTAGGCTATGTGGGAAATTGGTTAGAACTCTTCCTGAAGCCCCTAGAGGTAAGTCTTTGTTGTTGGTCGAAACGAAGCATAAGTCGGGGTTGTATTCCAGCGTCCATGCCGCGAATTTGAAGGTTGGTCGATCTTTTATATCAAAAAAAAGGTACAGGGGTTCGTCTTCTCCCATTTTATTAAAGCATTCCCGTTCGCATCACTACTTTTGTATTTTCACTGTTCATGTTGGCTATTGTAATCTCCAACGTATACAACAGGGTGAGGATGTACTTCAATTGCTTGGGCTGGCCAAGACGTGGCCAAGCAGGTGGCTTGGTAAATGGCTTGGCAGGTGGTAAATGTTGGACACGGTAATGCTATAATGATTTTTGTAACCACAATATAAATACAGTCATCAGTGGAAGTAGAGATTAGCGAAGCATTTTCAATATCTTCTTTGACATAATATGTGGCTGTGCCGTATGTTTGGTAATAAGTTGTACCTAATAGTTCATAGCCCGGTATTTTGCCTCTTTTTGCAGTTGCTCCTCTGTTTCGTAGTGGGTTTGCTGTATAGCAACTAAATCAATGTTGTCATCTTTTAATAGTTTTGATAAAAACTGGCTTTTAGCATAGCTTATGCCTTCTATGTGTATAGGGCAAATTCGAACTAGAGGCCCGATTTGTCTGGTTGTGCGTTCCTCACAAGGTCCGTTTATTTTGTTTGTCATCTATTGTTGGAAGTATTGTTTGGTTAGTTTTTATCAAAAGTTTTTAGTGTTTTATTGTTATATACCAATTATTAAAGTTAAAATTATTTTTAGGCCCTTATAGGGTTTGGACCTGAAGATACTAAAGAATGGTTATGTGGCGGTTCACTGATTAGTGATCGTTTTGTCTTAACTGCAGCACATTGTCTAGAATCCCGTGAATAGTAAGTTATTAGATATTATTTTATTGTTAACTTGAAATTCATAGTAAAATTAAATTTAAATGTTAAGAGATTATAATAATAGATTCCCTTCTTACCGCTAGTAATTTTAATTTAACCTTTACTACTACTACAGTAACATGTCGGATTATAACTTCCACCGCCATTTTCAGACTTTCAATCGTCACTTTGTCCTGCCGTTCCATAGCTCGTTTTCCATGGTTTTTTTCCCACGTTTTTGTCTATTCCCCCTTTCTAACTTGTTCTCAGTCTACCTTGTTTTCTCTTGCCTTCTGGTTGCGATTTTAGTATTTTCTTTGGTATTAGTCATTCATCCATTCTTTGTATATGTCGGGATCAGATATGTTGTTTTGTATATAAGTCGTCTGTGATTGTTCATTTAATTCCCATTATTTTTGGAGTGGGGTCGTTGTTTATTATTTCTCTTTTGTATCATCCGACTAAATATGTTATGTAATAATTTTAACAAATATAGAAAGGAATATTATATAATTTACTAAAACAAAACGATTTATTTTCTATAAAAAATATAGTGCAGCTTCTTTAATTCTTTAGTTCAGCGTAATTCTGGTTTGGCAATTTATTTGTTGGGAAAGCTCGAGTTTTGTATTATATTTTGTACCGATCACCAAATTCGCAGCCAATTTTTTAGGATCAACAAAATTTTCAAAAGAATTAAAAATTAAATTTTTACAATACCTAATCAACTTCTTGCATGTAAGGACCGGTCTTTTTCACCTCCAGATAAATATTATCCTATCTAACAGATAGTTATCTGAAGGATAGAAGTTTTTTTATAAAATAAAATTTACCCGTTTTTTACTTATCTGTAAGATAAATGTAAAATTTATTTTAGAACACAGTAATATTTAATTGTTAAAGAAATCACAATATTGTTGTAATATCTCTTTTGATTATGCAATTAGTGGTAGCAGAAATAAATTATGTAAAGAAAAATTTAATAACGAATAAAAAAATAATATATGTTTAATAATTCTTCTCAGGTTTTTCCTTAACACTAAAATATATAAGCTCAAACATCTTTAACTTCAAAAAGTTTCATTCATATTCATTGAAAATTCATTGAAAAAGTTTCATTAAAAATTCATTTTCAAAATTGTCTTAATTTTGATCTCTCGCTAGGTTATACTCATAGAATGTTGCTGTAGATTAGTACGGTTGAATCTCTTCAATTTTACAAACATTTCCACTAAATGAAATAGTACCTAAAACTTCTCTTCCGTATATAAAAAGTGGTTCTAATATGAAATTCGTTATAGAAATTGAATTATTTAGTGAACTTAAAAATGGCTTTAATTTATAATCAGAATCTCCTTGTAAGAACCCATTTCCATTATTTCCATTTAAACTTCTTATCAATAATACCGAAATTATTTATTCCCACCTGGTAGGTACCTAGAAAAATATATCCAAGAAGTATCACGAAATTGTCAGAATTTAAAATCAATATTCCATATATTATATAGAAGATTTATTAAAAGATTTGAACATTTCCTACTACACTCTGAATATTTTGTATACCTACTCTAAGTCTTTTTTTATATAGTATTGAATGTATTGTATAGTTATTAAAAGAATCTGACAACCTAGGTACTATGTGCATATTTTTTTTTTTTAAATCTGATACTACAATTATTGAATCGGTAGCACCAATATCTTTTAAAAAAGGTTAATTAATCCAATTTTTAATCAACAACATTATGAAAATATTGACTTCCTAAACTAAGTATGTAAATGAAAATATGTATACACCTACTGTTATAATCATTTAGTAACAACTATTTATATTTTCTTAGAATATAGATCACTGCCAGTTTACTTAATATTATCCTTTTAAAAAAGTCTTTATCATTATATGTATATTCATGCCTTCATCTATCCAAAACATATATTTATATTTTTTAAACCTAATCCTGTTGATTTTTTGTTTTTTAGTGGAAAAGCCAAATGGGTACGTTTAGGCGACTTAGACATTTCTTCCGATAAAGACGAGGCTGATCCACAATGTTTTAAAATACTTAAAAGATTACCTCATCCTAACTATTTGCAATCTTTAAAATATAACGATATTGCGCTTATACAACTCGACAAACGCATTCATCGTTCTCCATTTGTCTATCCAGCTTGTTTACAATCTAAAAGATTAACTCATGGTAAGTAATTCTTAAAGAATGCGTAAGTATTTTGAGTTTTAAGCATTGATGACCTCGATTTTAAGAAAATATATAAACCAATTAAAGACACAAGTGCATAAAGGATCTATGTAATATTTTTTTAAAAAATCAGTGTTTAGGCTCAGTAGGTCTGTTTTAACCCCTAAATTTGCCTTATAAGATTTATTTGGCAACGATTTAATTAGGGGATAAAGGATCTATGTACCAAGCAATATTTTATTACAAAAGTGCATAAAAGATCCATGTGATCAATATTGTACATAGATCTTTTATGCCTAGCCAAACGGATTGCTGTTGTCATGTCATGTTACATAGATTCCAAAAGTTAGGTTATGTTGTTCTTTACATCTAAAATCATACTGTGTACTTTTATAGTGAAAATAGTGAAATAAGTTGAGAAAATATCAGCAAGAAGTAGACTTTTACTTAATCTGGGACAAAAACAGTATAAAGGTATGTTGAATTGATAATCAATCTTGTTTTTTACTAAAATATGTTTCTTAATACTAATTTTAGGTTAAGAGTTTACCGGAACGGCAACAAAATACCTGCATAATAATTGTTTTGAGCAATATTTTTATTATTTAAACATTGTAGAACTTGATTAGATCAGATAAAAGAGATTAAGCATAACTTAATTTTCGTAGATATTGCCGAAACTTTACCCGAACAAGATAAAACTCCACCAAGAATCGAGAATATTCTGCATGACAAGTAGATATCTTCACCAGAGGTGCAAGATACATTTAACGGTAAATATTCATTCTTAAATTAAATTGTTTTAAGGTTTTGGTCTGCATGGGTAAAAATAATAAAGTATCCCACCCACCCTAGATGTTTAAAAAAAACTTTTAAATTGTAGATTCTATTTCTGAAGATGAAGTAATTTCTCCAGAATATACTTCAGACGACTACAATCCAGATAGTACTGATTCGAGCGAAAGTTTTGAAGATTCTCATTGTGAGGATGAAAGTCATCCCGTAGCAGTACCGCCTGTCAAAATAGAAGATTCAGCTTTACTTAATGAATAAATCAACATGAAAATAAACCCCCTCTGTGGCTCAGTGGTAAGAGTGCCTACCTTTAAACCTAAAGGTCGTGAGTTCGAATCTCATCTGGGTGGAGAAATTTTAGTTTATTAAAAATTAATGAATGAAAATAATTTCTATCCTTGTGCGATCGATACTCACCGGAGGGACCGCAGACGTTAGGATACAATTAGCGTCTCTTAGCAAAGACAATGACGTCGACTTTGCTAAGTATCAAGACAATTACTCTACACACACACTACACTAGGTACCTGACTGTACCATGCCAATGATCTTAGTTGTCGAGGCATTAACTCAATATTAAAAAAAAACATGAAAATACTGAAAATCTATTGGACATAAAGAAAAGTCTTTTAATATCTAGGATAAATAATGTTAAGAGAAAGTTATTCAATTTGCCAGAAAAAAAAAGTAAGAATAAGGAAACGCCGTCCTGAAACATGGAAGAAGAATAATAAACATGAAAATACTGAAAATCTATTGGACATGAAGAAAAGTCTTTTAATATCTAGGATAAATAATGTTAAGAGAAAGTTATTCAATTTGCCAGAAAAAAAAAGTAAGAATAAGGAAACGCCGTCCTGAAACATGGAAGAAGAATAAGACTGCCTTAACGAGACAGTGAGGTGAGACATACATATCATTAAAAAGTAAAAAAGAGATGCCAAGCAAAAGTTCCGAATTAGGATCTTTATACAAAAAAGAAAATTTCAAAAAGAAATTTGATGAGCAATTTAACAAGTTTGATAGGGAAACAATATTTCATAAGTTTTATGCATTAGATAAAAATGCAAAAAACTCATTACTTTTTAAATCTGTTTATGCCAGTTAATGGCCATAGAAAAAACATTAGTAAAAATAAATTATATACATTTGGTTACACAATAACGTGTCAGACACGTATCAAAACTGCCTGTAAAACTGCCTTTATCTCCCACTACCAAATATCAAATAAAAAGGTGCAACTTATTTAGAATCAATTAAAATCAGGGACTACAGCTCCTTCACCAGGCAAAAGGGGGCATCATAATTCTAGACCAAATAAAATAAAAAAGATGTGTTTGATGGTGTAAAAGGACACATTCTTTCTCTTCCTGCAAAACAGTCACACTACTGGCGAAACAAAAGGCCAATAAAATGTGTTTGTCTTCCTTGTTAAATATAACCAAACTGCATTAATTTCATCAAGAATATGTTCGAGAAACTAAGACAGACAAACGGTTTTGGTTTCAAAAATTTTTATACGCACATGTTCTCATCAGAATTTAATTTATCTTTTGGCCATCCCAAAAGTGATACATGCAGTACGTGCGATGCGAGGATGAAATTTACACAGAAAAATTTAAATTTGATTTTGAGCAACAAAAATTCGATACCCGATAGAGAACGGGTACATAATAATGAAGAAATGTGCTATTTAACCATAGATGTACAACAGACCATGCCTTTACTACGGCTTCATACTTTTAAGGCATTTTATTTTAGCAAATGTGGTTCTATAATTAATTGGACCGAAGATGTAGCAACGGAGGGCAGCCTTGAAGTTGGCAGTAGCTTGTACACATTTGTTCAACTTTTAACAAGCAGAAAAAAAGAAATAAGCCATCTTCTCATATGTTCTGACTCGTGTGCAGGGCATAACAAAAATTTTAACCTAATATGCCTATATCAGTACTTAATTTTAAAGGGATACGTAAAGATAATAGATTCACTTACCTAGGAACTACCCTCAACTTACAATGGGACTACGCTCAAGAGATTAGATCCAGAATTGAAATGGCGCGGTCTACATTTATCAAGTTGAGATCCTTGCTGTGCTGCAGTCACCTCAGTTTGGGAACCAGAATGCAGATAGTAAGGTGCTACATTCTTCCAATATAACTATATGGAGTTGAAGCCTGGACACTGACGCAAGCCACAGAAAAGCGGATTGAAGCATTCGAGATGTGGATCTACAGAAAGATACTAAAAATATCGTATGTGGACCATGTCACCAACGTTGAGGTCCTACAGCGCATGAAAAAAGAAAAAGAAGTGCTTAATATAGTAAAACAACGTAAGGTTGAGTAGGGTAAAGTATTTAGCAGGGGACGACCGGGACGCCGTCGTATCTCCGACAATGGTTTGGGATGACGTCCGCGGAGCTGTTTCGCAGAGCAGTCAACAAAACCATGATAGTCTTGACGATCGCCAACATCCGGAACGGATAAGGCACTGAAGAAGTAGAAGATAAACCATAAATTTCCAGAAGTAGGGCATTCGTTTTTCGATTCTGATAGATTTTGGAATAATTGAAAAGAAATTACGAAAAGTTGATACCGTATATGCCGCAGATCAATATAGAGATGTTATAAGAGAATCAAGTAAAAAAGGTTCTGTTATTATAACTATGACCGAATATTTAAAAAATATAGCAGACATAGAAAATAAATTACGTTTACTAAAATTTAATAAAATAGAAAAGAATTACTGTGGAGACAAAATAAATTTTAGAGATGATATCAAATGGATACGTGTGGATAGCTACGGTGAATATTACTACAAAAACTCCTTACACCCAAACACGCCGTTCTTAAAAGTGGATATAATAAAAAATGTAAGGGCGAATTTAGAAGAAGGTTTTGTATTAGAGGTTATACCAAACAAAACGAATACTCTGTCCGTTGAAAAAATTAATAATTTAAAACAACAACTTTGTTTTATAGAGAGGCTCAAAATAAAGAAAGCGCAAAAATCGAAAATAAAATAAATAGAAAAATAAAATAAAGAAGAACGAATTAGGAATACCATTTGGATTTACATCGTTTTATTGTTTCTTGTATCCTTTAGGCATTTTGAATTAAAAATGTTTGCCTAGGTCACTTAGGGAATAAAGGATTTATGTACATTTATAATTAAATATTTTTCTTTAGTTATTAATTATTATTGTTAAATTATCATTATTAAAAAGTGTACTTTAAGGTCTAAGTTTCTTCAAAATTGTATCACTCTAGACTTATTAATAAAAAAGTTCTAATTAAAAAACTTTGAATTCATTTTACTTGAAAAGTTGTTTATGTTACATATATCTTCATGCACTTATGTCTTCAATTATTATTATAATAATACAGTGTATAAACGGTTCTTCAGATAGAATTTTAACGAATCGGAAACAAATATGAAATTTCAACATTTAAAAAAAATAAATACATTCCTACTTCATTCTCAAAGCTTATTGTACCTACCATTTAAGACTGTTCCAGGTTCAGTTGGTATTATTATTTATGTTTTCATCATTTTTCTGGCTTTTGGGCGAATTAATAAAGCATCGAAACAAGTTTCAACGATTTTCATAATAAATTTCCGTAAAATTCTAAGAGACAACATTGACTCTAGGCACCTGGTACCTCTTACAGCTTAGTCAAACCGATATTCCTGTTCAGCGGTCTCAGAAACCCCAAAGTATGAAAATTGAACTTATTTTCATGATTATTTTCCGAGTTGTAAATTTTTATTTGTTAAACCCTTTGAGATGTCCTTTGGGAAATACCCCTAAGAACTTTTGAGTGCAAGGAAACTTGCACTGCCTGGCTCAGCCATTCTTTGTTCTAAAAGGTTCAGACAGTTCTCCCTCGATTCGTACTCTACATTCGACTTTTTCTAAAAATTTTTTACATTTATCAACTGATTTTATACCCATACCTCTTAATTACTCTGAACATATCTGTTCTATTTACAAAGTCGTAGGCTACTTTGTATTCTATAAACATGTGGGGAGATTCTATGCCATATTCCAGTATTTTTTCTAAAAACTATATCCGGGTTGCCTCTGATTATTTGTCGATTTACCACCTATGAAACCAGCAGGTATTTTCCTAATATTTGTTCTGTATATGGCGTCATACGATGGTATAGTATGGTGGAAAATATTTTATACGCTGCATTTAGAAGCATAAGTCCTCTGTGGTCGGAGCATTCAAAGATATCTCCTTGTAGGTTTGTATGCCTTGAAATATTTTTGGTTGATGGTAACCTTATTACAGTATGTTTTAAATTGTTTCTTTCTGTTAAAGCTTTTCATATATTTAAGTTTCTTACTTAAGTGGTTTCCTTTTTTTCTTTTGTGTCTTTTTCCTACATTTCTCTTTGTGTATAAGTTCTCTACAGTTATTCCAGGTCGTTGTGTAAGCTTTTTTCTGTAGGCTACATTTTTTCCCATTATTTTCGAGCACAAGTTTCGGTTTAATCTTTTTCTGCTGCTTCAATATCTTTCTTTATTCTGGTCCAGTAAAATATCTTTCTGGTCTTCTTCATTTGCGTTTAGATTCCTTAGCCTGTTTTCCGAGTGTCATTCTGCAACTGTTACATCTATCAGCTTTTGCACATTCCATTTCTATCTAGCTTTTTTATGTTCTTTGCTGACTTTTAAAATTGTACACCTTAATGTTGAGATTACTAGGCAATGATCTGAATCTATGTTTGGGCCTTAATAACTTCTGTAATTCATTAAGTATGTTCCTTATCATGATTTTATTAATATTTGATGAGTCTGGCTCCTTACTTTTTAATCAGAGGAGGTCCAGGTCACCTTATGTATATTCGTGTTTTCAAAAAGGATCATTCTTCTAAGAACCTAGCCGATTTGAACGTTTGCAGATAGAATCAAATTCAGAAAAACATATTGCTTATTTTTAACAGAGTATAAACAAAGTATGATTATATATTACGATCTTTCTCTTCTAGAACCAAATATGACAGCTTCTGGCTGGGGAAAAACAGAATTTTCTGGAGAAAGTAGTAACTTTTTGCTACAAGTGGATTTAAGAGAAGTCGGGACAAAAGAATGTAACAATTTATATAGTGATATAAAGACTTCCTATCTTCCAAATGGTATTAATGGCGATATGATGATATGTGCTGGAGGAGAAGTAGGGAAAGATACGTGTCAAGTAAGTAGTTTTTCTTAATCAGGTGTTTTTTATTTATCTTTATAATTTAATTATAATGATTAATAATTTAAATAAATATTAAAAAAATTCCTTTACAGAGGTACATGTTTTTGCCATAAAACCTTATAGAACATCTGTCGAGTATCTTTAGAGTAGGGAAGGCGAGATAAGTCCCACATAATTGTTACATTGTGCATCGTTCCAGGGAGATGCACTCCATTGCAGCAGTTGGTGTTGTTTTCATAGCACCTGCTATATTTATACAAGCCATCTGCTGAGTCTGTTTTAGTTTGGTAATCTCAGTTATCTGCAACACTTTTGATACCCAAACAATAGCCTACGGCAGTGTAGATCCAGGCGATCAGCCTGGGCGCTACGCCCAGGTACGTCCGACCGTTCGTCGACACTGCTTATAGGCAATATTGCTTACTTACAATAATGCGGTTTTAGCTTTAACATCTAAGTGGGAGCTTCATGTTAACTTCCGGTCAAGGGTTATACCAAGGTATTTCGCCTTGTTAGAAAAGTTTAGACTGTAAATTAGAATCCTTGGAATATTAAGCCCGGGATTCTTCTTTTTCTGGTGAAAAGGACCTGTATTTTCTGTATTCTTAGGATTAATAGATAGTGACTGTTCCTTGCACCATATTTCTGTTAGTCGCAGAGCAGCTTGTAAACTCTCACATTCACATAGTGTGTTCTCGAACTTACCGCTTTGAAAAACAGCAATATCGTCTGCATAGACTTTTGTATAGAACTTGTTGCTGCTGAGTTGGTCAATTAGGGTAACTATAACTATTTCAGGAAAGTGATTATAGTGTGAATACATCCTTCCCTGTGGACACCCCCTTATAAACATTCCTCTAACAGAAATGTCTTCTACATTATTTATGCTTATTTCTGTATTACAGAGCATATTAAATATTCATTCGCTCACGGCCAGGTGAACATTCCTGACATTCTACTGTTAGGTGATGGTTGGGAATAAGGTTTTATCAAACGCTTACTCAATGTCTATAAATATATCTAGGTTGGATTCTTTATTACCTAGCGATCTTTTAATACTGCTCACTACTTGATGTAGTATAGAACCGGTAGATTCTCTCGAAGTATATACATGTTGATTTGGGTGAAGTGGGTTATGAACCAGAACTTCATCCCTTCGTACCTCTCGCATAGCTTTTTCATCGTTTTCAAGAGAAACAATGTTAGGCTAAATGGTCGTAAAGCCTTTGATACAGTGTAGTCCATCCTACTGGGTTTTGGTATGAAGACCACACGTACCTCTCTCCACTTTCTAGGAATATATCTCAAAGCCAAGGAGGTTCCAAATATTCCAAAAGGTGCGGTAGGAGCATATCCATTCCCAACCGTAGTAGGGCTGGATATATGCCGTTAGGCCCTGGTGACTTGAAAGGGACGAAGCACAATATGGCCCATCTTACCTTAATCTAATTAAGCATTGTTCTGGCGAGATGCCAGTCGTTCAGTAAGGGTACGATTGTTTCTTTCATTCAGTTTGGTGCTGTTAAGGTGCTAGAACCGTAAAAGTATCTTTTCATCAGGATCTCAGCACTTTTGCAAAGATTGGAAGTTTTGCTTCCATCTTTTTTCGTCATTATGCCAATATGCCGATGTGGGTTCCCTAAGAGTGCTTTTGGTAGCTTGGATACCAACAAAAATCTTCGATTTCCTCACAGTAGGCTCTCCAATTCTAAGGTGTTCCAATTCAAGCACCATTAAGAGTTAGTTTTGCAACTTTTCTGGACCAGCCTTGCAGAACAGAATTTTTCTATAGCATAGCTTATTTTGTTTTGGATAGATACGTATGCCTTTCCAATTCTGTATTAGTTCCTGAAGTTAAGGCCTTTTAATTCTGCAGAGCATCTTTAAGAGTTGGTTGTAGAATTCCACATCCGTCCTCCTAGGATCGAGAGATTTGATAAGGCTTATTTCCATACTAATAGTATAGGCCACAAAACACTAATCACAACCAGAAGCGAAAGCTTTGTCGGAACCTTTGATGTTGGGAGGACAGAAATTCAGAGTGACAGTAGCAATGAACCTACATTTGATTACACGAAGAAAAGTAGTGAGGAAGTCGTTCAAAACTGTGGTAAATGATAGTTACACTGAGAAATGAAGTAATCATTTTTAAGTAATCTGTTTTGTATGAATTTTATTTTTTCTGTAAAATTTAATATAACTTATATATCAATTCTGAACTGATAATTAAAAAGTTGTTAAGTCAAAAATATCGATTTGTTTTTTTTTAACAAACAAATTAACGTACTAAAAGTATTTTAGTACGTTAAAAAACCGATTGAATTTGAGAGTTAATTTTAAAATAGAGATGAAAAGCTTGATTTCTATTACTTTTTATCGTTTTTTTAAGGTTAATAAAACACTTCATCACTCAAAATCTATATTTTGACTCAAGACTTTTTTACTTATCAATACAGAATTATACTTTTGAAATTTCTATTAACTTTGTCTTAAGTTGCTGACTTTTTTGTTTCCTGTTGAGGAATTTCTTTGAATGTGAATATCTATTAACCTCCAACACCACGATATTTTCGCTGCGCGTAAAAACTCTGCAGCTGCGGCTAGAATGACTGTATACAAAATGACCTTAGATTTCTTTCTATGCATCTGAGGTCTCTGAAACTTCTGGTTGTATTGTAGTAAATTCAACTCGCCAGGACATATCAAATTTATGGTAGGAAAGGGTAAAAAGTTGTAATAAAACAGAATAATAAAAATTTATTGTAATTAATATACACGTATACCTCTTCGATTTCGCTTTCTGTGCATCTGAGGTCTCTGAAACTTCTGGTTGTACAGTACTACATTCAATTCGCCTGGATATATCACATTTGTAGTAGGAAGGGGTAAAAAATTGTAATAAAACACAATAATAATAATAGAAATTTATTGTAATTAATACTAATAATAATGTTTATTTAGGAAGCTTAGATTATAATATAGATTTACAAAAAATAAGCATACTTAACACTAAATAAATATGAAAAATTACTGAAATAGAGCTACCATAAAGGTAGCACCCCTTGTGTGTGAAACTTAAAAAATATATGTGCAAAAAAGCAAATATTTAACAAATGTATTAATATAAACAGTTACATATGCGCACTTACAAAAATACATTCATTTTAATATAGCATGTGACATAAATATGTCAATAAATTCAAGAAATATTGTAGTTGGAAAACAAGGTATATTTCGATATTTTTATTTATTACTATGATCAATTAATCTGCTCTTCGCAGAATTGTGTTATTCTGTTTCCAATCCATTGTTTAGTTTTATACTGATATCTATATTTTTTATAACTCTTAATTTGTTTTAAATTCTCCGGTAGACAATTGTATCATTTGGGCCCTATGTAGCCAACATATTTCTGGAGTATGGATTTATTACATTTGGATAAAATTGCATTATTCCTTATATATATTTACGGGGACAATTTACGTACAGTTAAAAATTTATTCTCGTTGTATAACAGTTTGCTGTAATATCTTAATCTTTTTCATAAAAATCTAATTAAGCACTTCTGAATGTTTATAGAATGCAAGTAAATATTCCTTATTCCGCCCCATTCTAAAAGACCATTATAAGCATGGATAAACATAACCCGGATGGGAATAGAATAGAAATATATGCTTTATTGTCATTGAAAATTTTACAATTTTATGGACGAAGCTTACAAAGACTCAGAGGAAAAAGACAATAACAAATTGCATAATCAACCGTAGGAACTAATAAGTTTAAGCTACTTTGGGTAATGATGACCCACGGGTAAAGAACCATGGAACTGTACATTAAGATATTGTAATTTCTTAGTTATTAATTAAGAAACTCTTCTACTGAATAAAATGGTCTTTCAAATAGATAGGCTTTTATCATTTTACGAAACTTCGGGAACGATGTTGCAGATTTATGTCGTAAAAGGGTTTTTTTTGCAGAATATAATATAGATTTGTTTACTAACTGTGAACGGCATCGGTAAATAAACATCAAAGGTTGAATTTTCGTTTAGTAGTCATGATAAGGTCTTGCTGGAAAGACATGTAGGTATTTACGAACTAAGCAAACAGTTTCTAAAATATATAAAAAAGGAAGTAAAATCCCGTGATCTTTGAAGTAGACTCTGCAATGTGTTGTTCTTCTGAGGCCAAACAGATACTTTATTACTTTTTTTATTTAATAATATCAACGGATTGGGCAGCTGTACCAGAACCCCCAAAAGGAAGACCACATCAAAGATGAGACTCGAAGAAAGAAAAATATGCAATTTTGGAAGATTCTAAATTGATCGCCTTCGAAACAGATCTTATTGCATAGCAGGCTGAGGCTAGTTTGTTACTTAACAAATCGATATGAAGGGCCCATATAACGTTGCTGTCTCAAAAAATACCAAGAAATTTTACAGAATCAGCGGTACTGATCTGGCTGTTACGAGTTGAAGAGCTCCTTGATAGGATAATGCTACTGTTTTATCCAGGTTAAAAGAAAGTAAATTAGAGTCGGACCAGGTTTAAGCTGAAATGTTAAATAAGGTTTTTAAAATGGAAACTTTTAAATACAAACACATATAAAAAACAAAACGACTCAAAACAAGAATTAGAACAGTTTAAAAAATTATGTGACAAATTTCCTAATAAATTGTGAAATCTCAAGCACTTTTGCAGAAAAAAGTACCAAAGGCCAGAATATATTCAAAGAAATACAAACAATTCGCTTTTACATTATACTTTTTGAACCCAAAACTTAAAACTTTTTGAAAAAAATTCTTTATTTACCAACTAAACGTTGTTTGGAAGAAATTACTGGAAACATTGTTTGTAAACCTGGATTAACTCAGACCTCTGTATTTAATGCTATCCAGTTTAAAGTTAAGACTATGTCAGAATTGGATAAACATTGTATTATATGCATTTATGAAGCTGTGCTTAAGTCAAATCTTTATTTTCATTTTAGTT